GATTCATCATGTTCATCATCTGTGTTCTCAGTTTTCCCAAATTCGCTCATAATCTTCAACGGAGTTTCTTCACCGGATTCATCATGTTCATCGTCTGTTCTTGATTCCACCCAGATTCATCCAGAAACTGATGAAGATCCTTCAATCTTCATCCCTCGTTCTTCATCCAGAGCTCATCAACGAAGAATAACAAGAACACAAAATCTCCTTCAAACGATTTCCAGATCTCCAAAATTCTTCTTCAAGTTTCTTCAGAAATCCAACGACCTTCAAAGAACTTCATCATTCATCATTTTCCAGAATCTTCATCTGTATTCTTCAACATCCACCAATCTCTAGAAAGTTCGTCAGTTTCACCAGATCCTCCAAACATCTTCATCAGATCTTCCACAAACCTTCATGCATGTTCATCAAACATCAAGAATCATCGTCAAATCTTCATCCAGATCAGTGCAAGAAGATTGTAACCGCTTCCAGATTTCCTCTTCAGATACATCAACCTTTCAAGATTTGTCACCAGTTCAACAACGTTCAGCTTCATAAAACCTTCAAACGATCCATCCTCAACATACAAGCGTTGATCTCCGATTAATCCTTCATATCCGTCTTCGTTCACGATTGAACTCAAGCATCTTCGTTGCCAGCATTCATCAACAGGAATGGAGTTTTGTTCTAGATTTGTAGAAGAGCACGTGAGAGAGAAGTTGAGACGGAGGTTTGAACAAGAGGAAACGAGAGAGAGAGAGAGTTTGGAGAAGAGAGGGAGAACGGCGCGGTGAACAATTCCTAGGGTTTCAGAAGGGAGTGAGTGGAAGAGGGGATGGATCACGTGGCTAGGGATTGGGCTCCGAGGCCCATTAGGTTTGTTGTAACGCGTACTCCCCGTTTTTTTTTCCTCCCCCCTCCGTGTGTGTGTATTGTTGTGTTGCTGATTGGGCTAGGCCCATTCTGTGTTTTTCTGGGCACACCCCCGTGTCTATTTTCACCCCCTCCCTGTGTGTATATTTTTTTTTGTGTATTGGGCTGGGCTTGGTTGTTTTACTGACTGCAATACCCCCTGTACCACTAAACCCCCCTGCTGCATTTTTCTCCTTTTATATTTTTCTTCATTTTTCTTGGCAATATTAAATGCAATATTATGAGTTTTAATTCCATTTTCTTTTAGAATAATATAAATTAATATAGTTTTTCATATTTTTTTCATATAGAATATTATAGTATTTTCTATGCTATTTTAGTATGCAAATTTCTTTATATTTCTTTAGAATATTTTCAATTAGGGATTTAATTGCCGTATTTTAGAAGTAGCATTTTATTTCCACTGTATGGTGGATTTGTCTCCCATTTTCGTTTCTATCTGACTTTTATCTCGATTTTATTTTTGGCTGGCCGTGTGACACGATTCAATTGGAGAATGATTTTCGATATCATTTCTCCATCTTGTCTTTGACACGGATATCAATACGCTACCTCTTAGAGTTCGATTTCTCGTATAAGTCGAACCATGACGGTCTAAGCGTCACATTGTTCTTGATTCGAGCGTCATCATCAAGATCCAGAGAGGAGAAGATTGGAATGGAGCTTGCGCGTACGTCAGGAGCCCCGGAGCTGCTTCGTTCCTTATCATTGTCGTATTTAAATCTTCAGGCAACCAGCGAGTGTTGTGGGCTGCATTATCAGATACACAGGAAGTGCCAGATGAGGAGTTTCTTCTTAGGTTCTTGCGCGCGTGTCCTGAGTTCCTTCCCGTTTAGGCGTAAGCTTGCTTCCTATTTGTTCTCGCCTCATGCGAGTGAATCCCTATTTCCCTTCTCTTGCCCCCGTGCAATTGAGATTCGTTTTCCCGTCGAACTACGTTAGCTCTGATCTCTCGTGCCCGACAAGAGTACGTCGGCATAGGATGTCGTATCCTAGCGAGCTCCCGTTTTCCCTTTTCCCTTTTTCCCGGTTTTAGCTGTAGTAGGCTGAACTACAGCTGCTCTGATTTCTCATATCGATTGAGAATACGTAGGCATAGAGTGTGACGCTCTATCAAGTCAGTTTCCTTCCCGTTTAGATTTAGCAGCCATAGATAGATTGTTTTGCATCCTTTAGACAAACCAAACAAGTGTGGATCCCGTCGAGTACGACGGACGTGGGGGGTGCTAATACCTTCCCCTTACGTAACCGACTCCCGAATCCAGGATTTGGTTGCGACGACCATTCCTTTCCCATCTTTGCGGTAGGTTTACTTCGAGCGTTTCCTTTCCCTCCGTTGGGATAAATAACGGATGGTGGCGACTCTTCTGTTCAGCCGGCACCGATTTTCGCAGTAGCGACAGCTGGGGACTCCAACGGTTCCCAGCTGCTGAGGACTGCGATGGTTCCTTATGCATGTGGGATCCAACGTCCCCTAAGAGAGTCAATCCTAGCGCTTGTTTGCTTGTCTATTGGGTGTTTATTATTTTTGTATTGCTATTATCTGTTGTTGTTGTGCTGTTGGGTGGGGGATGTTCCTTTGAGTGAGAAGCCAGACCCAGGTTTGAGTGCACCTTAGACTTATAGTAGAAAGTAGTGGGTGCGTATATGCTTTGCATGTACTAGTGTCCTGCAAAATCCACACTCGGACGAGGTTCTTCTGGTTGACTTCCGGTTCAACCCTTTGGGTTGAGTGGGATGTTGGTTAGTTGGATTGTCGACTCCGGGGACCGGTCATTTGGAAGTCAGCTAAGTGAGGCCTCTTCAAGATATGATGATGTCACACCTTCTGGGTATCGTATCATCAGTCTTGAAAGTCTGTGACGTTGACGACCGCATAGGATGCCGAACTTGTGTCAGTTTAGGTCCATACCCGTGAGTGGGAGGGTTTTGCAGGAAACTTGGCTTCCAGCCTACCCGTTATTTTGGTCTTCTCTTCAGAGCGAACGTACTCCGTCAGCAGCGCAGCAGTATTCAGAGATTGTGTAGGGGATGTGATCCCGTGTTTGCTGCATATTGTATTGCATTTGCATAAACGTGTTGCATCATATTGCATGTCATACTCCAGCTAGCCAGAGCTCTTATCCAGTCGTTGTTTTGATTCTGAAGGTGATTATCCGGTGATTGGCTTGAGCAACTGTTGATTGTTAGAAGACGACCAAGGGATGAAGTAGATTTGAGCCGAATCAAGCAGCGAAGTTAGTTGAAGGTTAGCAGTAGCTATGTCTGAGAGCAATTTCCAGTCTCCTAACACCTTGGCAGGGTTCACTATGACGACTAACCCTCTGTATGGTTCTACTTCCGAGGCAGACTTTCCGCAGGTGAACAACCTTACTGCAGACCCGCGTGTGCAGCCTCTTGTTATGGACCGAGATCGACATGAGCAGTTTGTTGTCCGCAATGAACGACCTCCCCTTATCAACAGTCAAGGTGTTGTTTTCCCTGTGCCGAGTATCCGAAGAGAGATCTCAGTAGCCAGGACGGTAGACCCAAGAGCTCTTGAATGTGATAGAAGACTCCAAGTGTTGGAAGAACAAATTAAAGCCGTGAAGGTCAAAGAGGCTGTTAACCTGAGTGCTGTAGGCATGTGTTTGGTTCCTGGCCTAGTGTTGCCTTATAAGTTCAAAGCGCCGAGATTTGAGAAATACAAAGGAGATAGTTGTCCGAAGCAACATTTAGTGATGTTCTGCCGAAGAATGACGTCGTTTGTGCAAAATGACAAATTGATGATTCATTGCTTCCAAGATAGTCTGACTGGGGCACCTTTGCGTTGGTATATGCAGTTAGAGAGTAATCAGATTCGATCATGGGTGGATTTAGCCAGAGCTTTTCTGAAGCAGTATGATTATAACCTAGACGTGGCTCCTCATCGCATGCAGTTGCAAGAGTTGTCTCAAGAGAACAATGAACCCATCAGGAAGTATGCACAGAGATGGAGAGGTATATATAAAGAAGCTTACAGAGTTTATTTGTAGAAACAAAGTTTTCGGTTTAAAAGACACATTTGTTTGCTTTCTCATTTGGCAAGCATCACATAATTTTTCTTTTGAAAATTTAAATTTTGGTAGATCGACTACTAATTCCTCAAAAACTATTTTATTAATCAAATCATATTACACATGGCTTAAACGCCTATCCACAATCAATAATCAATAATTGAATGTAATTGTATTTTGTCATATTTAATTATTAATTAAATAGTTTAAATTTTAAAACTTTAATATATATGTATTGACACTCTAAAATAATTTTACACGCCGTCATCTAATAAAAATTCACCACTCAACTATGTCATATCAATAACTTAAAAATTACAATTTAAAACAATGGAGTACATGATGGTTTGACCCATATATATCTCATTTTCTCAAATTTTAAAAACAAATATAAATAGTTAGATATTGATGCCTTTAATAAACATTAATTTAAAATAAAGCAAGTAACATGCCGTTCAATAAAATTGTTTTGTTATATGAGTTTAAAATATATTTTATGAATTATAAGTAAATTTTCCGAATAAAATTATGCTTAAACCGAACAAATAGAGTAGGATAGAATAAATTAAAAAAAAACTTCAAATTCATTTCACTCGCTCACATTTTTCCTTTCGTGCCATTGCTGTTATCATAGAAACGAAAACACTCTCTTCCTCGCAGCTGACCTTTCTCTCTCGCTCTCCCACCTCTCGCAAGTAGCGTCCACCGTTCCCATCTCCTCGCACCGCCGTCTTCGTCTTCTCAGGGTCGCTGTTGCTCTTCTCACTCTGTCACGGTACCTTTCTTGTCTATCTTTTCTTTCCATTCTACAAACGCAATTCATCTCTTGATTCTTGACACCGCATCTTCAATTTCATGTTTTCGTTTTCTGTTCTTACAATTAAAATCTCGTTTCTGATTTTAGGTTTTCTTTTCAAAAGTAATTAGGTTTTTATTTTTTTATTGATGTTTTGAATTTCTCTATTTTTGCTTGAAGATTTTTCAGTTTAATTTGCTTCATATAATGTATTTGGTTGTAATTTGTTAATATTTGTTTATACATTAGAAATGGAATTTGAAATCTACATGCGACAAAGTAACAAGAGAAAGAGAGTTTGTTATAGTCCACTGACTCAAAAGAGTGATGGAACCTTTCTTGATCTATTGGTTGAAAGATGTGAAGATGAACAATTCAATTCATATGCTTTGAAATGGTATATGGAAAAAATAGAGGAAGTTGTGAGGGAAAGATTTCCTCATCATAAACCTAAGTTAAAAGCACACATTGAATTGGTAAATGAGAGGTTAAGGACGATCTATGAAATAGTTTATGATATGCAAAACCAAAGCGGCTTCAGCTGGGATGACAAGAACAAAATGATTAGGGTTGACAGTGATGAAGTGTGGAAAGAGTATGTAAAGGTTAGTGCCAATTATTTATTTTTCTTTGATTAGTTTCGTTTGTTTCAGTTCATATTCATGATTATTGAAAATGTGTTTGCTTTTCTATTACTGTGTAGAGAAATCCACATGCGATGTTATACAGGAATACTCCAATCCCACTTTTTGATAAGCTTGCTCGTGTTTATGGTAAAGAACCTGCTAACCCTAGTGCAAATGTTGAGATGATAGATAAAACAAAGGAGGAACAAAATGATCTGGCTTGTGGTAAAGAACCTACTAGTACTAAACTTGGTGCTAATGTTGAGATGATAGATGAACAAGAGGAGGAACAAAATGATTGTGCTTGTGGTAAAGACCCTGCTAACACTAGTGATCATGTTGAGATGATAGATAAACCAGAGGAGGAACAAAATGGCCCTGCTTGTGATAAAGAACCTTCTAATGCTAGTGCTAATGTTGAGATGATAGATAAACCAGAGGAGGAACAAAATGGCCCTGCTTGTGATAAAGAACCTTCTAATGCTAGTGCTAATGTTGAGATGATAGATAAACCAGAGGAGGAACAAAATGGCCCTGCTTGTGATAAAGAACCTGCTAGCCCTAGTGCTAGTATTGAGATGATAGATGAACAGGAGGAACAAAACGACGCTGCTAGTGGTAAAGAACTTGCTAACCCTGGTGCTAATGTTGAGATGATAGAAAAACAAGAGGAGGAACAGAATGAAAATGGAGAGAATGAAATAGAAACTACTCTACTAACACCTAGAAAACATGGATGTATCGAGGATCCATCAAAGAAAAGAAATGGAGGAGAAAATGCAATCACTAACAGTATGTTCGAGTTTGAAAAGACTATCAAGGGCTTGCTTGAAAATCATATAGAACAATTGCGTGCAGTTGTAAATTGTCTAGGAGTTGATAGAGATATATATGAGGATTCCAGGAAAGTAATGAATGAGCTAACAAAAATGGGGTTAACAGAACAACAGTATTTTACTGCGGCTGATAGAATATTTTCAGTGCCTCATCGATTGCACATATTTTGGAGTTGTAATGATGTTAACCGTCTTGCATACGTTAAGTCGTTAATCTAGTACTCTTAAAAAATGTTAATCTAGCAGTTTAATACATATTGTCTTGTTATGTATATGGCTTTATTTCTCTAGTTTTATTTGGATGAACTTTACATCATTTGAGAAATCTGTGCGAAACAATGACTTAGTTACCAGCAATTGCTTCTCTATGGAATTAACTAGAAATCAGCAGAGTAAGGCTTCTGCTGTGATGCATATTTGTGTATAATCTCTTGGAATATCAGCACATCTTAACTTCAAGATAAAACAATCTACTGTTTATATCTTTTGGTTGTGTTTTACCAAATTGTAAAGAAGTTTGTGCTTTTTGACATTATATAAGGTTGAAAGAAAACCAACTATAATTTTTCTCTGTTTTTTCTCCAAGTTAATTTTATTTGGTTTCATCCCTAGCTCTAAGAGTGTCACTAGGACATTCCTTAATAGCATTTATACCGTCTATATATGAACCCTTGCAAGATGATTAATGACCAATTTTGTTTTAAGTTCTCATGTAGAGGTTGTGTAGATGTGATTTTCATCCCTTTACATTGCTCAATTGCCAAGTTCTTCCTTTAACAGAACATGGAGACCAATTCAAAATCCGAGTTTCTTATCTTTGGCTTGAACGTTAGGCTTAGATTCCAATATTTAAAATTTATCAAGTAATTTTAAGAAATAAACATGTTGGTCCTAGAAATTGTAAAGGTCAGATTAGTTTAGTTCCTTAAATTTTACAAAACAGACAATATGTTCAATAATCAGAATTGTACATAGTGTGATTTTCGTTATGGATGCATCCAGAGTTAGAGAAGACACACTCATTGTCGAACATCACATTAGACTCTAACCATGCATCCAAGTAATAGTAGAATTTCCATTGTTTTTATAATTTTGGCTTTTTTACTACTAAGTATGCTCTTATCTCTTTGGACTCTGTCTAATATCTTTATACACCTACTATTATAATTTTATATTATCATCTAATTGTCTGCCCCCATAATTATATGTCTTTAAAAATATCTACATAAATAATTTAAACTTAAATTAACATTTTATATCATAGGAATAATTTATATATAGATCTTAAACATATTTCTTTAGTTGATAAAATTCAAGGTCAAGCATTTCAATATTACTTTCTATATTTAAAAAAATAAATAAATGCATTCTAGATATTCTTTAATATAGAAAAATATAGAAACATTTTATATTCCAAAATATTTAAAAATTTCTGTATTTTTAGGAAGCAAAAGTGGATAATTTTACATTCTTTATGTTTTAAAAATATGTGGTTCTACCGATAGTTAGTTAGTCAAGTGATGATTAATGCAGAATTTGATAAAAAGAATTACAGTTTGATTTTTCACCATTGCAATCGAGAGAGTTGAAACTACTTAATATTAGACTCCAAATCAGATTAGACAAAAAGAAGAAAAAAAATTGTGGTTTAACTTTCAATCCAAAAAATTTTAAATGAACAACTTAATCCAAAAAATTATCCCGCGTATACTCAAAAAATGATATGTTATTTTTTTATAATAATTTATTTTAAAATAAATTAAAATTTTAAATATATTTTTCCTTAAACTAAACCTGTGTAACTAAGAATTTACCTTTTCAAAATCGTTTCCAAATCGTAAACCTTTCAACAGTATAACTCTTCCGATTGTTTTGAAATGGTTTTTTAAGTTATGCACATTTGATTTTTCTAAAGAAAATGGTGAAAAATGAAAGGCTTGTTTGATTTACTGAATTTTTGTTGAGTGAGAAATATAAGGTAGGGTGTCACGTTGAATCCTCCTTTCGTAACCAAAATGGGCTTCCATAAAAGTCCTTAACCCATATTAAACAAATGGCATTATGGTCATTTCAAAAAGCCGAGCAAACGAACACATTTCACTTCTTCCTTTTCGTTATCCTCTTTTTCCCAACTTCGCTCGAAATGGCAGCGGTATCGAGCCACCACCTATTCTCCACTTTCACTCTCTTTAACTCATTCAGAACTACCAAATCAAACTCAATTTCTCGAAGTAGCAGCGCAAGTTTGATTCGATGCGCTGATTTGAGCACGAGCACGGTCGAGAGTCAGCGAGTCACAGTGAGTAACGGGAACGATTCCTTGGAAATATGTAGAGTTCTTAACGGAATGTGGCAGACAAGCGGTGGTTGGGGAAGAATCGACAGAGATGACGCCGTTGAGGCTATGCTCCGGTACGCTGACTCCGGCTTATCTACGTTCGACATGGCCGATCATTGTACGTAGTCCACTCAATTTCTCTTCATCATTCACTACTTTCCTCTATGATGACGTGGGGCTTTTCTATTGGCCTGTTTTTCCATTAATCCACTTCACTATTTTGTTATAGAAAATTAGATTGATTTATTAATCATTAATTAATAAGTAAAAATATAAATTCCAGTTTATTTAAAATAGAAATGGTAAAAATAATCTAGATCAGATGGAGAATTTTATGTACAGGTGCTCCTAACTCGAAGAATTAGTCTATACAATTAGGCTTACATACAAAGTTTCTATCGGTAAAAAAAAAATAGAAATTATAAGAAAATATATGGTGGAGGATAGTCTGGACAGGATAGGACACTATATGGTGTAAAGGCCTTTTCAAGAGTATATGTTGTTGCTATATCTACTGTGGGCACTTTGAGGAGTTTGAAAATGACAGAGCTATTGCAGCATTCTCTGAGCAAGTTCACTTACTATAGTTCAAACAAAGCACCAACAAGAAGAGGAATTGCAACAAGAAAATATAAGCATTTGAGACCATGTCGGTGTGTGGCTATGCAGGAAGATAACCGGCGCATTGTGGTCAGTAATGGAAAGGATTCACTGGATATCTGCCGGGTTGTGAATGGAATGTGGCAAACGAGTAGTGGTGGATGGGGAAGAATTGATAGGGATAAGGCTGTTGATGCTATGCTTAAATACACTGATGCTGGACTTGCCACTTTTGATATGGCTGATATATGTATTCAACTTTGCTTTTGTTTGTTGTTTCTACTTGCTTTTTAAATGTTTGAATCCATGAACCCGCCTTGCCTTTCCTTGCTGTTGAGAGTCTCGTGTTAACTTGATATGACCCTGTTGAATATGAGGTTTTGTAGAGTTGAGTTAAGCTGAATCGAAATTCTGAGACTCGGTAGTTATTTAAGTTAATGGTATCTACTAGAGGATTAGAATCTAGAGAAGATCTTACAGGTTGGTTAGGCTGACTTAAGCTTGATTTAAATTCTAAGATTTGGTCATCACTTAAGTTAATGGTGTCTACTAGAGGATTAGAATTTAGAGACCGTTCTAATTTGAGTTCAGGAGGTTATTATTTGGTTTTATATATGTGGAATCTTCTTTACATGATTTGCTTCTTTTGAAGGTCATAACTTGTTTACATTCTTTTCTTTCTCATTTGTTGTGTTGTGTTCTATTGGTTTTGCAGATGGGCCAGCTGAAGATCTATATGGGATTTTCATCAATCGAGTTCGTCGTGAGCGTCCACCAGAATATTTGGAAAAGGTCAGAGGGTGAGTTGATTATGAGGTTCATATTGTTTTCTTTAGTCTTTTTCTACTTGGAGAAAATGCAGCAAGTTTAGATTGTCAAAAAAATTATACAACATAGAACATACTGCCTCAGCCACTGTATTATTTGATGCAGTCTCACTAAGTGGGTGCCACCTCCAGTTAAGATGACAGGTAGCTTCGTAAGAGACAACATTAACGTGTCAAGGAAGAGAATGGATGTGGATTCCTTGGACATGCTTCAATTCCATTGGTATTTAATACTCTCGTTCTCGTTCTTGTTATTTAATTCTGATTCTCTGAAGTTTATGATTCATCTGACGACTCCCCTCTATCTATAATGAATTTAGGTGGGATTATTCAAATTCAGGATATCTTGATGCACTAAAACACCTCACAGACTTGAAGGGAGAAGGTTAGTTTTGCTCCTGAATAGCTCAAGCAAATTCCCATTTATTGGTTTAAGCAAACTATTTCTGTTAACCTTGTACAGGTAAAATCAAGACTTTGGCTCTAACAAATTTTGATACTGAGAGATTACAAATTATTCTCGAAAATAATATTCCCATTGTGAGCAATCAGGTAAACCAAATTGCTTTAGTTTTCTTCTATCAGTTCGTTATATTAAATTACTACTGGTTCGTGATTCTTTTAAGTATCTTCACAGGTACAACATTCACTCGTTGATATGCGTCCCCAACAGAAAATGGCAGAGCTTTGTCAACTTACAGGAGTCAAACTAATAACGTAAAGAAATCATTTCAGCACAAAATAATTCTCCAAAATGAGATTATAGTAAAATAAAAGAAACTAAATACCAAATTTCCCCTAAGTATATTAGAGTGTGATGCAGGTATGGGACAGTAATGGGTGGTCTTTTGTCTGAAAAGTTCCTTGATGCCAACGTCAACATTCCTTTTGCCGGACCTGCAATAAACACTCCTTCCCTCCAAAAATACAAAAGGGTATGATATCATAACTGTCATTTTTTTATATTTACACATTTGTCAGGACTTGAACCCTAGGATTTGAACCCTGGACCTTTTAACCAATAACCCAACTCTTTTAAGCCAGTTGAGCTACCCTTCCCATCCGATATCATAACTGTCATTAATTATCTGAGGATAGTTTTGAGCTGATAATTGATCATTTTCCCCGCTTATGAACATGAGGAGGATGGGATTTTTTTTCTTTTTCTTTTTGTTCTCTTGACAGTTATATTATTCATGTGTTTTTCTATACTATGCATCGCATGGCAGATGGTAGATGCTTGGGGAGGGTGGGGTTTATTCCAAGGACTTCTTCGAACTCTTAAACAAGTAGCTACCAAGCATGGCGTTTCCATTGCAACCGTTGCTGTAAAGTATATTCTGGACCAGGTAAAGTTGATTTGTTTTCTCTACAGGAAACTTGCTTTTCTGTAGTAAACTTAAAATCTCACATTGATATTAAATTGGACATGCCCTTTTGAATATTTCTCTGATTTTGGTTCTGGTGAAACATGCAGCCTGCTGTGGCAGGATCTATGGTTGGTGTAAGACTTGGCTTGTCAGAACATATTCAAGACTGCAATGCTATATTTTCGCTTGTTCTTGATGAAGACGATCTGAACAGCATAAGAGAGGCATCAGGGAAAGGAAAGAATCTTCTTAAAGTGATTGGTGATTGTGGAGATGAGTACAGGGGTGCATGAGTCTTGCTCATTGCTATATCAACATGGTGATTGTTTTCACTTATATAGGACAAGGAAGGGTGAAAATATAAAACAAGGAAATTATTCACTCCAAATTTTGTCTCAGTAGAAGACGTGTATGTAATACTTTCATATGATACTTTGTACTAGTCAAAAGACAAAAGAAAGGAAAACGTTGTTTTAACTAAGTAAATTAATAACTTTGTATTGTTCTGATAAATCATTTTATCTATGATATTCTTGATTGTTTAACATCTCATTGCACATATTTGTTCTGAAACAGTATTCCCTGCTGTCAATAATTACCCGCAGACACCTAGTTGGGATATGGTTGACTGTCTGATTTCAATCTAATGGTTCAAAATAATGCATGTTTAATTAATGTTTACTGTTTAATTAAAAAATACTTAGATTAAATCTAGTTTGTTTGATCTAAATCGAATGGCTTCTAATCCATGACAGCGTGACTGTGTCGATTTGTTGACTGCAGCAAACTATGGTTGATTTTTTATCATGTATAAACTATGTATTTTGGGCGTGAAATTGTAAAGTTTGAACTCTTATATAGGGTCACATGGCTATTGTGTCAATTTATTTAGAAGGGGAGAGGATTGAGTGATTTTGTTTTTATGGTGATTTTCTAACTTTAAATGTATTTCAAAGATGAAAGAATAATTAAAATAAGTTATTTGTTGAAAGAGAATGATTGATTTAGAAGAAGAGAGATAAAGTTACAGATTCACCGAAATCCAAAGCCACCAAAGTCAAGCCTCGTTCTAATTGAAACTAGTTAGGCTAGTAGAGACATGTTATTACACCTTGTATTTTAAGGAGGACTAGTCTTTTATCACATGAGCTAGTCTTGGTTACAAGTATGGTTGGATTTAAGGGTGATAAACGGGTATGTTTGTCTTATTTAGTTCCGTTCCACAAAAGATCAAAAAATACCGGACAAACATTATTGCAGGTGTGAAAGTTAGAATCATGCTTTGTAGATTATTCAAACAATGATCAGAGTGAAAGATGACTATCATGGTCTTTAATAATTAATAATGTATTTTTGATTATGACAACTTGAATCCTTTGATGACAAGTTGGAAAACCTTGGTTTATCAATAATAACCTTTACAATCTATGAGGATTCATATATGACAAACGGTTAAAAATGCAAGCACACAAACTATGGTTTGATGATCACTACAAACATTCTCTGATGATGGCATTCAACTTAAAGATACCTTCAATCTTATCTCAAAGAAGATTCAAGTAAGAGCTTATATGATTGGTTTATTCAGCAAGCCTTGAAGCTTCAAAATGTGAAAGAGAGGAAGTGTGAAAATTCGTCCAATGTCTCTGAGTGAACTGTGTTTTGTAAGAACACAAGGGAATTCTCATAAAGTAGCATGGATAAATATCATACACACTAAAACATGTTTTAAAGTCCTTGTTTTCAAAGTAAGCAATCCAAAAGCGTTTTGGAGCGTAGATAATTGATTCAGGAACTATTAAATAGTTTTGGATAAAGTTTTAAACTGTCCAATCAATTGGTTCTTTAACCCAATCAATTTGGTGAATGCAAATGTTGTCCATAAACGATCAAGAGGATATCTAATGAAAGGAAACATCTTTGTATCCATTCTTTCCATTTTGAGCATTTGTAATCAATTAATTTTGGGATCTCAATCGATTGGATTTAAGAGCCAATCGATTGACACATTAATTTTTTCTCGTGGATCTTTCCTTTCTAATGTCAACCTCTAGCCTATAAATAGATGTCTCTCCCTTCACATTTTCACATCCAAAAATGTGAGTGCGCTCTCTCTCTCTCTCTCACATACACGCACACACACAAACATTTTATACTTTCTTTCACTTTAATTTAATCGTAGAGTTACGAGAAAGTTTTTGTGTTTGTGAGAAAGTTTGTATTCTGAAAAGGTTGTTATTGCAAATTCATCAAGGAGTGTTTTTCTTGGTTGAATAATTTTTCTTAAAGAAGTGTTTGTTTGGGTTTAAAAGGTAAACCCGCTAAAAGTTTTGTTTGGGGATTTAGGTTCCTAAGTCTCATTTTCGGTTCATAAGTTCAACACATGTAAAACCTTACTTCGGTTCGAGATCAGCCAAATTTAAAATATCAACTTGGTTCGAGGTTAGCCAATTCAAAACCCTGGTTCGGTTCGTAAGCTCAGTCCTTGAAAAAGCTTACCTCTATTTGAGATCAGCTCAGTTTAAATCTCAACTTGGCTTGTGGTCAGCATGTTCAAAATCTTGATTCAGTTTAGAGGATAAGTTGTTCGAAACTCCGGTTTGATTGGAGATAAATCCGTAAAAAATCTTGGTTTATCTTAGGGACTAACCGCTTCAATTTTCTGTTTGAAAGGAGACTAACTGCTTCAATCCTCTATTTAGAAGGAAGACTAACCGTTTCGGATCATTGTTCTCTGTTTGACTAGAAGTTAACCTAAAACTTCATTTTTCTTTGTATAAGGGTGTTCAAGATTTTATCCTACTAAAATCCCTTAAGCACTACTGAATACTCTGAAGAACAAATCTTGGAAATATGATTAGGTCTTCCTGGCCGAATCTCTATAATTCTCAGGTGTCATTTCTCTTACCCTTGAATATATATTTTTCGCATATTTACTTTTTGCTACTATTTCTAAAAACATTTTAAAAAATGATTTTAAACTCTGAAAATGATAACGAAAAGTTTTCAAACTATAGTTTTTCTAAAACACACAATTCACCACCACCCCACTCTTGTGTGTGGAGTCTCATGTACAACAAGTCGTATCAGAGCCTAAACCCTATTTAAAGACTAATCATATTAGAAGGAAGATGATTTTCAACACCTTTTCTAACAAAAGATTTTTCCTAAACACACTTCAATCGTTTAATGGTGATAGGTTTGAACTATGAAAATATAGATTCAAATTTTTTATTCAAAGTATTGATTTAGAACTAGGCATGGCAAGAAAACTCGGGTCCACTGGGGGCCGCCCGGTGTAACACCCCCCTTTCTATGCCCCCAAATAATACAATTAATCATTTAGGCATAAATTTAAAATTTCATCAGAGTACATTTTCAACATGGCATAAAAGGGAAATATCACATTATCATAAAAATTCCAACACATACAACACCTGCTCAACAGATATGCAACATCGGGATAACACCCACAAGAAGTATTTAGAACAAAGGCGGAAATATCCAAATATTTCATAATTCACCAAACATGTATTCACATATACAGTCATCATTCATCATGTTTTACAAAACATATCAACAGCAGATACATACTCAGATGTATCACAAAAGAATCAAAAATAAATCCTATCTACCCGGTGCTACATATCAGAGCCGACCGACCAAAAGGGAAAAAGCCACGCTTCACAAAAATACCTCCAGCAATCTAATCTGCAATGCCTCATAGAGCATTAAAAGAAACAACAGAAGGGTGAGAAACGATAACATAATAACAATGCATACAAACATATTAATATACATGATACCCAATATACGTCTTTCGCATTCTCACCGCAACTCACCTCGTCATACCGTACATCGCAATGTATTCACATTATCTATTTACAAATAGAACATCATGCATATACAATATGCGTCAACAATGTTTATATCGGTTCATAAACACACAAAACATACATATTCATATATTCACACACACATGTGTCTTCAAGCATACCAATCATGCCAATCATCAGCAATTCATATAAACATTTACAATTATGTTCATTCACCATACACCATGCAGGATGTCAACATGCAACTCATAGAGACCGACACACGACTCTATGCAGATGCAAATGTGGTACCGACTCATTTCAGCAGGTTCAATTGAAGAACCAAATAACCATCGCTCACACCCCACATGGGCACACGAGGTTCTGCAGATTCTACGCGGAATCAAAATAACCATCGTAACATACGAGGTTCTGCAAATCCACCGAGGGATCAATAATTAACCATCGCTCACACCCCACAAGGGCACACGAGGTTCTGCAGATTCACCGAGGAATCAATAATTAACCATCGCTCACACCCCACAAGGGCACACGAGGTTCTGCAGATTCACCGAGGAATCAATCGACACAAGAATACATACCATGATGCTTCACATGCAACATGACTCATGACACTCTTGAAATGCACACATGTTTACAAACATACTCATGCATTCTACACATTCATCGCATATATTCATACAAACATCATAGATTTTTAATCAGGCTAAACAATGCACATAATTGCCCAAACGGCCACAATTCATAATCTAGGATTCACGCCATACGGCTACCCACAGCACAACACAAACCAGCATATAAACTACTAAATCAAAGAAGGGTCGATCGCAACCGAAACCCCAAGCCACGACAGCACCACGCAACAGGGAAAATTCATCCTGCTACGTTCGCTACACGCTCGCCTAGCGAGCTGCTAGCGAGCGTTCGCTACCTCCTCGCCTAGCGAACTGCTAGCGAGCAAGAACAGAGGCTACATACCTCGTTCGCTACACCGTTCGCCACAGCGAACCTCCAGCGAGCTCCTCGCTACTCCCTTCGCTGCCAGCGAGGGACATTAAAACCATTATGTCCCAAGTCTGGGACCGTTCACTGCGCACTTGCCTAGCGAACTACCAGCGACCATTCGCGACCTGCTCGCCTAGCGAACTGCTAGCGAGCGTCTGCGATTTCCACTTCTCCCCGCTGTTCAGAATCCAAAACCACCGATAAAATCACCCGATGAACTCCAACTCATATCCAGTAGCCTTAGTCTAACATATATCGACTAATCTACGTCATCTAATCACGATTCTAACCGTTAGACAACGATTTCTATCGATTAAACCAAATTCAACCTAAAATGGAAAGTGTAGAAAAACTACCAACAATCCAAAACAATCCAACAAAATCATACATGATTATACACATTGATAGAATAATAAAGTTTCACACCCTTACCCGATCAATCGAAAGCTTTG